GGGGGGGTCAAGAATGGGCCGGTTGGTTTGTCTGGGCCCGAACGGTCGACATCATCCCCTCGGAGCTTTTGTCGTTCCCCGAAGGGTGGAATTACGCACGTGAGTGAAGCGTCCGGTGCTTTTTTAGGTTGTACCTATAGCGGAAGTTAGTTAAATAATGGTGCTTTTACCTTGTTGTAGCAATTTCATGGACGCCAAGCGAAGTCTCTGATCTGCCCGGCTGGGTCCGGAGGCTGGTGACCCATTCGTCCTGCGACGAGCGTCGATGGCGAGCTGTGCTCCGCGTCAGGTGGGGAGCGAAATACCAAGGTATGTGCGCGTGCTGCCTTTGCCTCGGCCCTCATGTATTTGAGGTAATATTTTCCCCTTTTCTACTTGCATTGGATCTGTCGCTTGCAGGTATCGGGCAGTTCCTTGGGATGAGACAGTGTTCTTCCGAAGATGGGAAGGAGTCGTTGACCTCTCTTCCCGCCCTTCGAGGCGATGGAGCTTCTAGTGGTGCTGACCAGGCCAGTATCTCCAAGGAGAAGGCATTGTCTGAGTCCGCTGCCCCCGGGGTGTTAGATACAGTTTTAATAATGCAAAATAATATACCTATGCAGGAAATCCATAACAAGGAAGTCAAGACTACTGGAGTTAATTCTGATGAATAAGGGAAGTAAACAATCAGCAAAGATTACGATGCAATTAGCGGATCTGGGCACCTAAGGAAAGGAACAACAAATCTAGAAGGAATTCCATCAATCAATCAATCAATAAAGAATATCAATCAGCTGCGATGGAGAATCAAGCAAGCCTAATGTTAATGCACACATCAAGGGCAGCAATCCGGAAGTTCGAAGATTCGATAGCGATTGGTACGCGACTAATTTTGGAAGAACCAACAATTAAGGAGCAAATCTTCATTCCATACAAACTGCTGAACGAAGGAAATCAAAGTGAAGCAACGGCTAGTTACCTTATTCTTGGAAAGAATCAATCTCTTTCCAAGGATCAAATCTCTAGGGTTGCCAAGCCTTAATCATCATCAAAGTATTTATACCCAGTCTTAGACCCTAATCAAATATACTTTGATCACACCAAAAATCCTCTTTTTATTCTACTGCAAACAAACATTGTAGTTCTCTAAGATCTGTTGTGTAACAAGTTAGAGAAAAATGAGAGTATAACACCAATGAGGCATTGTATCAAAAAGGAAAAATGAGTGTTAGAGGAACTGTAGTATCAAGTCATTTCCACTGTACTCGGAGAAATACATTTACTAAAGAGAACTCCCTTGCAACCCAAGGGGACTGGACTAGGATTCACATTGAATCCGAACCAGTATAAAAATTCCGGTGTCTTTAATTCCTGCACTTACTTTCTAAAATTTCCTTTCTGATATTACAACTGTTGAACTGCTATATTCAGTCGACAATTTGTCAAATTAGTCGACTAATAATTCAATAAGTTTAAAAATATACAATTCACCCCCCCCCCCCTCTTGTACTTTCAATTGGTATCAGAGCAAGGCTCACATCTTTCTTTTTTTCTTAACAGCTTGTGAGAAAAGATCATGGCAAATCAAGTTATCATAGGAGCTCTCTTCTAGGAAGGAACTTCACAAGTTAGACCACCATACTTCAATGGACAACATTTCTCCCATTGGAAAGTGAGAATGGAGATCTTTACCAAGGCATATGATGTCAAAGTTTGGAGAGTTATCAAAAAGGGAAATAGAAAAGAGGAGAACTCATAGCGTTCGAAAGGATGCATCTAAAGAGGACTAGCCAAGAAGAGAAAAAGAAAATAGTTGCATTCAAGGCTTCAACTGAAACCACTGAAAATGAAATTGACGATGATCCTGAAGCTTTACAAGAAGAAATCACTATGATGTCAAGAAACATGGATGGACTAATGAGAAGATTCTGGAATAGAAAGAAAGGAAGAATTCCACCAAGACGATCCAGGCAATACAATGAACAGGATAAGAACAATGGAAAGTGCTACGAATGTGGAAGATTTGAGCATATTCAAGCAGAATGTCCGGAACTAAAAAGAAAGATCTCTAGAGGCTTCAACAAGAACAAATCCTTCGGAAGCTGGACTGATGAATACACCTCAGATCATGAAGAAATAGCAAATCTTTGCTTCATGACAATCCTGGAAAATGAAATGAACAAATCCTCAGGATGCTGGACAGATGAGGACAACTTAGATGAAGAAAACGAAAATTGTTTCATGGCACGAGGTGAAACAAGTGAGGTAAGATCTTATAACTGTGAAAGATGCAATGAATTGCAGGATATTCTTGATTTAACTTTAAAGGAGTCTCAGAAAATGATGAATGAACTTAAGAGACTCACAAAAGAAGTTAAAGACTGGAAACTCAACCATAAAGTATGTGAAATTGAAGAGGAAGTACTTCAAGAAGAGTGTGAGGAATTGCAAATGCAACTCAACGGCATGCGCAAATCCACCAGTCACAATTCTGTTAGTCAAACCAGATGACTTATAAGTCAACTGGAAAAAGACCAGCCAGAACCAAGTCGACTAGTAATAACACTACTTAAAGACCTAAAAGTAGGTCAGAGGTTACATGTCATTACTGTAACAAGAGTGGTCATAAGTATTCCTTTTGTCGCTTTCGTAAAGAAAACCTTTCAGGATGGGTATGAAAACCAAAAACTAACTCTGAATCTAGCAATACTAACCCACCAGGACCTAGGCAAGCTTGGGTACCTAAAAGAAAGTAATCACTTTGTTTTGCAGGAACACCACAGAATAAGTCGCAAGGGAAAATGGTATCTAGACAGTGCGTGTTCCAGTCATATGACAGGTGACAAAAACTTGTTCAAAGAAGTCACAAAAATTGATGGAGGAAGTGTTAAATTCGGGGATGACTCAAAAGGCAAAATAGTTGGTACTGGAACAATTCCCTTTAACAACAACTGTGACATTACTTAAGTGTATCTGGTTGATGGCCTCAACTATTATCTCTTGAGCATAAGTCAACTTTGCGACTCGGGATATAAGGTGAATTTTAAGAAAACAGGATGTTCTATTGAAGACGAATCAGGTAAAATAGTTCTTCCCGAAAAAAGGTATGGAAATGTTTATATTCTTGATAGCTTTGAAAAAATAAGTGGTCAAATCTGCTTATCCTCTATGTCTGATGATCCATGGTTGTGGCATAGGAAACTTGGTCATGCTAGCATGCATTTGATAGAAAAATTGTCTAAATATGAGTTAGCTGTTGGTCTTCCCAAATTGAATTTCTCTAGAACTCATATATGTGATGCATGTCCAATGGGTAAGCAAACCAGAAACTCTTTCAAAAACAAGGATATTGTATCTACTTCAAAACCTTTGCAACTACTCCACAAGGATTTATTTGGGTCCACTCGAACTGCTAGCATAGGAGGAAAAAGATATGCTTTTGTTATTATAGATGATTTTTCACGTTTCACTTGGGTAATTTTCTTATCTCATAAGGATGAAGCATTAAGAAATTTTGAAGTTTTCTGTAAGAAGGTTGAAAGAGAGAAGGGATATCTTATTTCAACAATTCAGAGCGATCATGGTGGAGAATTTGAAAGCAGAGCATTTGAAGAATTCTGCAATGATCAAGGATACACACATAATTTCTCTGCACCACGCTAACCACAACAGAATGGAGTTGTGGAACGAAAAAATAGAACTCTCCAAGATATGGCGAGAACCATGTTGCTAGATCATTCATTGCCAAATCACTTCCGGGCAGAAGGCGTGAGCACAGCGTGTCACATTCTAAATCGATGTCTCATAAGGCCCATTCTGAAGGAGACCCCGTATGAACTATGGAAAGGTAAATGTCCCAATATCAGCTACTTCCATCCTTTCGGAAGCAAATGTTTTGTTCACGATAATGGTAAGGACAATCTTGGAAAATTTGATCCATGAAGTGATGAAGGTATTTTTTCTAGGCTATTCCTTAAATAGTAGAGCTTTTAGAGTATATAATAAACGCACATTATGTGTGGAAGAATCAGTTCATGTTATATTCGATAAAAATAATCCCTTGGTCGAGAAAGGAGTTACTACAGGTAATGAAGATCAAGCTCAAGAAATTCAGGAGACAATCAAACCTCAAGAGTCGACTGACATATCTGCGGCAACAGAGTCAACTGGTGAAGAAAGCAGTAATATACCAGATCAACCAATCAAGTCGACTGGCAATATAGTTTGTCCAAATGAATGGAGAAGCAAACCTGAATATCCTCGAAAGTTTATTATGGGGGATCCACATGAAGGAATGAAAATAAGGGGAGCTCTCAAAAAGAAGGCAAATGTTGCATTAATCTCTCTGATTGAGCCAAAGAAGATAGAGGAAGCACTAAGAGACTCGAGTTGGGTTCAAGCTATGCAAGAAGAACTAGATCAGTTTCGTAAGAATCAAGAGTGGAGTCTGATACCCAAACCTGAAAATGTCTCTGTAATCAGAACAAAGTGGGTCTTCAGAAATAAATTGAATGAAGATAGAAAAGTCATAAGAAATAAAGCCAGACTAGTTGCTCAAGTGTACTCACAACAGGAAGGAGTCGACTACGATAAAACCTTCGCTCCAATAGCGCGTCTGGAATCCATACAAATTCTTCTGGCATACACATCTTTTAAAGGGTTTAGATTATTCCAAATGGATGTCAAAAGTGCCTTCTTGAATGGATTCATTGAAGAAGAAGTTTATGTAAAACAATCTCCTGGGTGCGTAGACTCAGAATTCCCATATCATGTGTACAATCTCTAAGGCTTTGTACGGACTAGAGCAAGCCCCACGTGCTTGGTATGATAGACTGAGCTCATTCCTTGTTGATCATGGCTTCACAAGAGGTAAAATCGACACTACCCTATTTATTAAAAGATCATCGGAAGGTAACCTCATTATTCAGATCTATGTTGATGATATTATATTTAGTAGTGCTAACCCTCTTATGTGCAAGGAATTTTCTAATCTCATGCAAAGCGAATTTGAAATGAGTATGATGGGTGAGCTAACATTCTTTCTTGGACTACAAATTCTACAAACTGAAGAAGGAACCTTCATATGTCAGACCAAATACACAAAAGAACTGATTCAAAAATTTGGTTTGAGCAATGCAAAATCAATTGGCACACCAATGAGTCCTTCCACAAATCTAGACAAAGATGAGCAGGGAATTCTTGTTGATGAAACTAAATATCGTGGAATGATTGAATCATTACTGTATCTGACAGCAAGTCGACTGGACATTATGTTCAGCGTGTGTAAATGTGCCAGATTTCAGTTAGCTCCCAAGGAATCATACCTAACCGCTTTAAAAAGAATCATTCGCTACCTTATTGGGACTGTGTCTCATGGACTATGGTAACCTCATTCTAACTCTTTTAAATTAGAAGGTTTTTCAGATGCTGACCTTGCAGGTGATAAGGATGACAGGAAAAGCACAAGCAGCACATGTCAATTACTGGGAAAGGCTTTAATATCTTTGAACAGTAGAAAACAAGCTTCAGTTGCGCTATCCACTACTGAAGCTGAATACATTGCTATAGGACAATGCTGCGCACAACTATTATGGATATCTCATCAACTGGGTGATTATGAAATTTTCTGTAAGCCTATTCAAATTTTCTGTGATAATTCTAGTGCAATTTGTCTTTCAAAAAATCTTATGCATCACTCGAGAGCAAAGCATATAGATATCAAGCATCACTTCATTAGAGATCATGTTCTTAAGGGTGATATTGAAATATCTTTTGTTGGAACCACTGATCAGCTAGCTGATATTTTTACTAAACCTCTATTAGAGGAGAGATTTTGTGAATTAAGATATCTACTTGGCATTACGTGCTTTACTAAAAAGTTTTAGGACCTATATGTATTATTCTGATTTTATAGGGTAATGATTGTCCTTCACTCATGCATTAATTACTCTCCGTCTCTTTTCCCTCTCTTTTCTTTTCTTTCACATCAGTTCGTCGTTCAATGTTTGGAAAACCAATCATCGCATCCCTTTAACTGACAACTTTTCATTTTCTGTACTCAACCGCCAAAAATCTCTTCTTATAGAAGAAAACCCTTTTCAATCACTCTCATCTTCATCCTCTCTCCTAACCTCCAATCAAGCCCTTCCCTTTCAATGGCTAAGCACCCTAGAAATTCCTCTGCCTCTACTAGAAAAAGCGCCAGTTCCAAAGCCAAACCTCCAACTATGCCTCTGGAACAAGTCGACCCAGGGTCTGATCGCTCTGAGGGTTTCGCCTCTTCTCAGGGTGACTTCTCTGAACACTCTCCACTCCTTGGAGAAAAAGCCTTGGGTAAGCGATCCATGGAAGAACCCCATATTTCGTCTACCTCAAAGAAATCAAAGGTTGATTTCTCTGCCTCTCTTGAATCTGACCTAAATTTCTGGGATTCCCCAAATAAAGATCTCTTCATTGCTTTGAAATATAAACTCATTGCCCATGGAAGGGCCGTCAACCTTGACGACATGGAAGCCCTCAATTCCAAAGTCAAGGATCTCTTCATGTATCAAGGTTGGGCTAAGTTCTTCTCTATTCCTCCGTCCAAAGTATATGAACCCCTGGTTAAAATGTTTTATGCAAATCTTTGTTCTGGCAAGCCTGATAGGTTAGAATCTCTAGTGTTAGGTAAGCGCATTGTTTTTTACTATGCCCTGTTTGATTCTCTTTTTCAGTGTCGTTGCTCTGGTTTTCCTACTTTGTTTAAAAATACCTGGCCTGATAACTTTGAAATCTCCTTTGACCAAGCCAAACAATGTATAGTTGAAAGTCCCTCAGATCCCCTTCCAAACCAACTAGGTCCAAGTGATGCTAGCTTCGAAACTAGGGTTCTGGCCCACATTGTGGCAACAACTTTCTTCCTCGCACTGGTTCCTTTTCAACCTTCTCCCAAAGAGACACATTCTTTGTCTATTGCCTCGTAACCAAACTCAAAATCAAGCTTTCCTCTTGGGTTATCAATTTCACGATCGAGAGTGCTGAAGATCCCACCAGTCTTCCCTACGGCATGGCAATCACTCACATTCTGGAAGCTCACCAAATCTTCTTGTCTAGCTATCCCTTCATCACTGTCTCTAAGTCCTACAACTCTAGAGCCTTTGCTAGTATGGGATATGTGAGTGTGGAAGGTTCCTGGGTTAATAAGCACGAGAATGAAGCAAAGCATGCCCCTGTAGAGCCCAAACCCTCACCCTCTGTTCCTCATTCCAATCCTAACAATCCTGATCTTGGTGAAACACTTCATGCCATTGAATCTCAACTCTCTGAAATCAATGTCTTCTCACAACCACTTGTGAGCACGTGATTTTTGCCCTAAGCAAACTATTTCCAAAAGTCTCAAATAATTGATTTCTCTATTATTTTACAATTTTTGTGAATTTTTTGCTACATTTTTGTGTTAATTGGTTGCATTTTATTCATATGAAAATACAAATAGGCATTTGCATTTAGGGATTTAATGTCACAATTTTAGTATTAGTTAGTTTTAGAACAAAGTTAAAGAAAATTGCAAAAAATAGTTCTTTACACGTTTAATTGTTAATTGTTGCATTTATCTTTAAATAGAATTTTAAATAATTTTAGGAGTTAAATATATTAATTAGGTCTTTGTTTTGTTTTAACATTTTATAAAATCAGAAAAAATAATAAGTAAATACAAAAGGCTAACAAAAGAAAAGAGTAAAAATAAAATAAAAGAATGGTCTTGATGAAAGACCAAATCTTGGGCCAAAATTCAATTTTAAGCCCAAAAGTCATTCAAAACCGGACCAAACCACTGGCCCAAACGCCCTGCCCGGTCCAATTGCCCCATACTAAAAACGACGTCGTTTTGACGTCGTTTAATCATGACCGTCCATCCCCTCAAATCCAACGGCCTGGATTGATCCTTCAATTCAAATAAAAGTGTCCGAAATTATACCCAAAACCCTAAAACATCCCTCACCCTCCTCGTACTCCCTGTAACGCAGGCGTTACCCCACCGTCCTCCTCCCATCTCCACCGGCCGGAAATCGTCGCCGCTGGCGGCGATGCTCCAATGGACCCCAAAATTACACCATTGAATCCCCGTCCCCTCCTCTTTCCAAATCCCCAAATCCCATCCCTCAAATCCTAGCCGATCTTCTCAAATCTTAGATCGAAATCTCCGGTGAAAACCCTAAATCATCCAAACTCGTCCAAATTTACACCCTACCCTCCTCCGACCTCTATCATCCCTAAATCCTCATTGGTTTCTCTCAAATGTTAGCGGAACTGTTCGAATCTAAATCATGGCGATGGCAGAATTCTAGGAATTTGGGTTTGCTCATTTTTTTTTGGATTCCCTGAGTTCTGCGTTGGATTCAAGTCACGAAATAACGTGTTCATTTGTTCTTTGGTAAGAACAAACGATTACGTTATTCCGAGGCTCGAATCGTTTTTTCTCCAGCCTCCAGTTTGGGCTCCATAGGTAATGTCTTCTGGTTCATTCACCTTTGTTATCGATTGTTATCTCTTCTCGATTAAGTTAATTTAGGATTTGCCCGCATTCTTCATTTGTCTGTTAATTGGCCTGTGTTAAGTATGAGGATTTCTTTTAATTCCTTTTACTTGTCTTTTATCCATGATAATAATTTGAAATTAGGGTCAAGCATATTAGCTTACATTTTAGTTTTGCTTCATGTATGATTTAAGTCCATTAGTCTATATGATTTTGCTTTCATTAGTGTAGATAATCTGTTATTTGATCTTGCTTGAGCTTTATTTGGTTTTGTTTTGGTTAACTGTTAATCTTGTATTAGTTGATTGGTTAGCTTAGTTTAGTTAGTAATCAGTATCTAGTTTAGTTAGTTTGTTCAGGTTTAGTTGAACTTGTGAATTCCTTTTAGTTTTTAATCCTAATTGCTGACTGAGGTAAAGGGATTGGGTCATTTGGTAAATTTTAGTCTAGATAAAGGATAGTTTGGACATTTAGGGTTGGGTAGTAATTTCAGGGAGCAAATAAGGGTAGTTTAGGCATGGAAAAGGGTAGTTTTGTTAAGAATAGTAATTTCAAAACAAAAGAAAGGGTAGTATAGACATTGTGTGGGTAGAAGAACACCCTAGGGCCTTCTAGAATAGGACTTTAGTGTAGGATTCAGTAAACTTAGGGCAGTAACTTGAGAAACAAGTCAGAAATTGAAGGACTAATGGGTGAAATCTGAAATTAAAAGAAGGAAAACTGTGTGAGTGCCATCTAGAACATTCTACCCTATTTGTTGCCTATAAAAGGCAACCCCAATGCATTCATTGGGGGAGTTTTTGAGCCCCAAAATTACCCCCAAACCTCTCCTACAGATCTGAGCCTCTAATTTGAATTTCAAACCAAAAGGAAATCTGACTTCTGAGATCGAAAACTCTCTCATAGATCTTAGTTTTCTGAAAAAAACCAAAACAAGCAAAATCCAGTAGAAAACCAAAAAAAAATATAGAAGTTACAGAAAATCAAAAACAATACTGTTACATTGCAGTTTTAGGTGAAACGTGAGTGCTAAGCATTAATTCTCACTTCTTCTGGTTGCTGAAAATGTTTAGTAGTCTACTAAGTNCAAGAACTGGCAGGGTTTATACCCCGGAGCATTTGGCTGAGTCAAGTAAGCAGACATCTAGTCGGCCAACCATTATCGAAAACTGGGACCAGATGATCTCTGGAGAAAGATACAAGCCAAGGAATACTCGGTCATTGATCAGCTTAACAAAAGACAGGATTAGATTTCTATCCTTGCTTTGCAACAAAGTTCCGATGCACACAAGAATGCCTTGCTAAGAGTGCTGAGTGAGGCGTATGTACCAAGTAACATCACCGATGAAGAGATGGCGAACATGGTAGGGCAGGTATTGAAGTTACAAGGGTTTGCTTATTTGATTTTTTGATTTTGAATACAGTAATACCAACAATCTTAAGGAATTTAATTTAATAGTTGATACCATGAAAAAGAAGAAGAAAGAAGTGAAAGTCGTTTGTCATGAAGAAATATGACGAAACGATTTATTCCAAATAGTCGTGAAAGTCGTCTGGTTTAACACAACATCTATTTTGATTATTCATCCGGAAAAAAATAAAAGATGAATATGCAAATTTTTCGGAGAAGCAAATAAAGAGAAGATTTCTATGAGTGTGCTTATAAAAGATTTTCTTAATAGTATGGATCTAATGTTGGGATTCTTTAAATGTTACAGGGAGAGTGTTTCTTTTGGCAATTGAGGCAGTAAGAAAGGTAACGGTTGTGCTTATTCGCAATAGGCCTTTCATAGAAAGCCGAGCAGTGACTGAAAGTAAACATTGCCGAAGAACGTTACTGCAAATTGCGGCAATGTACGTTGGGCGTACACCGCAAAATCGGGAAAGTCGAAAAACGGCTAAGTGGAATTGGAAGGAAATATTATGAAAGCAAGGAATTGTCGTTAATGGGCTTAGTCCATTTTATGCGGCTTTTGTCTAAAGATTACTTCTAAAAGTGATGCATGACATCCAGGTTGTTTTGCTCTAATGGAGACATCATTTCAAGCAACTGAAAAGGCTTCTAAATGGCTTATGTGAGGTTGTCATTAAAGTGATTAAAAGTCTTCTATATAATTTTACTATGAAATGGTTCAAAAGAAAGACATCTTAAATGAATATTGAACATTTGAATGTGGCTCCAGGATTATAAATTCACTGGTTGGAATGCAAAAGTGTTCCAATGGTTATTGAGAGGAGCATTGCTCTCAGTACTTGAATATCAAAGTCCCGTGAGACTAATTTTCTGTCTTCAACAGAATGTGACAACTATATCGGGTTATACCTATTTTCTATACTCACCAATAATTTTTTACCCTTTGGTGGTATATGAAATTAGTGTCTATAAATTTAGGGTAGATCTTTATTATGTGATGATCTCATATTATATATTTAGAATATATGCATGAGTAGGAATAACATGTACTTACGGTTAATTTGTTATTCCTTTGACTATATGAAAAACTATGAGTAGTTGATAT